ATTTATCAAAATATCTTTATAGAACACTAACACATGATAAGTACGTAATACCTGTTGGTATATAATTCGTTAAACAGACATATCTCTCTATAATTCGTTAAACAGACATACCTCACTTATAATTCTTTAAATAGACATACCTCCGTTATAATTGGTTAAACAAGACATACCTTCCTTCCTCTTGATATTATTGTTAAAACAAATAAAAGAAATTATTGTCTTCGAAATCGTATTTCCAGGGAAAGAGGCTGGCATCACTATTTTTAAAGAACTATTTAAGCATGAACAACAGTTCCTATAGATGGAAATATCAATGAATTATATGTGATTAAGGAACAGGAAATGATTTCAGTTAAAACAGGGAGTTTATTAACTTGTCGGATAACAAAAGATTAAAATGTTCACTCTTTTAAAAACTGTAAATAAATTTCATCCACGTTTGTTCTCCTCTGCACCCTACAGTTTCGTAGGTTTATCGCTGAAACTGCTCTAAACAGGCATGGCTGGTCACTTTTCTAAACACGGCTTCCTATAACTATAAAAATATGGTGTAATGTTGTACAAACGTGCTTGACATGACTTGTTCATAACTCAGTCTATTTGACGTTAGAGATTGTTTAAGAATATATGAAACATCATTATGTCAAATATTATGTTTTCTCGTGCGCAGTTTTAAGTACAAATATATCACAATATACCTTTATTAAATAAGTACGTGAGTTTGTGTGGCTAATCATAATCATTATAATAACAGCTTCAGAATCATAACGTGAATATAAATGACGTAAATGTGACTGTGATAAATTTACGTGCCCATGGGTATTTCTGAAACAAAATGCACATGCTCTAATTTCTAGTTTAGAAGCTGTTAAAGAAATGTAGAAACAAATTGGAACAAATGTATCAATAAATTTCATCAAGGCAGAAAAGATAGCTCATGAGATTTTTTTTTTTTAATAGATAGATACCCTACCAAAACGTGACACAGTGGTTAGCGTTCTGGACTATGGACCTTTTACCGCAAAAAAAAAAATCGTGGTTTGCTCTTTAGGGCTGTGGGTGCGTTATAAGGGAGGCGATCAAATCCCGCTATTCACACATACAAAGTTGGCCCGGCATAGCTCTCGACTCGCAATCTGAGGGTTGAGGGTTCGAATCCCCGTCCCACCAAATATGCTCGCCCTTTCAGCCGTGGGGGCGTTATAATGTTACGGTTAATCCCACTATTCGTTGGTAAAAGAGTAGCCCAAGAGTTGGCGGTGGGTGGTGATGACAAGTTGCCTTCCTACTAGTTTTACACTGCTAAATTAGTGACGGCTAGCGCAGATAGCTCTCGTGTAGCTTTGCGCGAAATTCAAAACAAACAAACATACAAAGGTAGCCCAAGAGTTGACAGAGGAATGTTGAATAGTTGTCTTCCGTCTACTCTATCAGTTCAAAATTAGGGACGGCCCTTGAGTGGCTTTCCACGAATATCCAAAATAAACAAACCTGCCAATATACCTGTAAAAAAACAAAAGAAACTAAAAAGAGACATAACAACTTCTCCTTATATGGATAAAAAACTTAAAAACCAAGCAATAGCAGAGTGTCTGATTTTATAACTGCTCTAAACATCACAAACAAAAGTTGCATTTTCGACATACAACATCTGTATGTGGTTCTGCCACTGAAATTTATCATGGATTTTAAAGATACTATACACCATTTGCTTGATTTTGCTTCTGCACACATAAGCTACACCAGTTTCTTCTTAAATATAGCCAGACCGCATTAAATGAAAACTTCTGTTTACTAAAGACTTAGTTCAACTGAATCCCCTATATCCCCGTCAAAGAAGGTATTGATTATATCATGAGCATAAGCAAGCGATGCCGGAAACAACCTAACGCTTTGAAGTATCTAAACTGATTGGTAGTAACAAGCCAGCGTGCTCCGTTTTAGACAATGGATATGTGAGGTTTAATAGCAATTTTTTCAACCAAATTAAAGGTTATAGTAATTGTTTAGAGTTGTGGAAGTATCTGAGGTAATATTCATGCATTCCTTAAACAAAAGGCATCAGATGTTGGACAAACGAAAGGAAGCATCATTGCAGCTATTTGGTACAGGACACAAAAAAAAAACGATTAGAAGAACTCAAAGAATTTCTTACAAACTTATTAAATACCTGTATTCCTAAGGTCAAGAAAATTCGAAGAGCACAATTACAGAAACCAAAAGAAAAAGATATGGAAAGTGAACAAAGAAAGATCCCTGGTGTAACCATATACATTCCAAATAATTACAACACATTCAATGTATCCAACGTACAAATATTGGAATATTAAAATAATTCAAAATCTGAAGGATCCTATAACTTAAAAGAGAAAAATATAATACACAGTCCAATGCAGCGAAAGAATTTAAAAAACTTTTAACACGTGCAAACTTTACGAAGAGAAAGGAAGATGTAACAAACGATGCAGCACGTATAAGCATCTACAAACCGGGATATTATCATCTATACATCATGAGAGATCTTTAACGGTGATGCCAAAATGAGCTGTAAATCAGAAAGTCTTGCATATTGTAGCCCGGCATGGCAAAGTGGTTAGGGCGCTCGACTCGCAATCTGATGGTCGCGGGTTCGAATCCCCGTCTCACCAAACATGCTGGCCCTTTCAGCCGTGGGGGACGTTATAATGTGACCTGTCAATCCTACTATTCGTTGGTAAAAGAGTAGCCCCAGAGTTGGCGGTTGGTAGTGATGACTAGCTGCCTTCCCTCTAGTCTTACACTGCTAAATTAGGGACGGCTAGCGCAGATAGCCCTGGTGGAGCTTTGCGCGAAATTCAAAAACAAACAAATTGTATATTGTATAATAGGTTCAAACTGCAATGGAAGTTACATTGGTCAATCCGGAAATAAACTGTGTGTGAGTGAGAGTGCAAATTCAACGACGACAAAATCTGGATCCATCAACACGTAATATTTCAGTTTGACACTTATTGCAATGGACAGTTTCTAATTTTCAATTTTACAAACTGTTTCCAAATAGTTAAATAGAGCGGATGGCGAAAGACAACTTTTTTCACAAAATTAAACCACCCAACAGTTATTGTTAGAAATATTAGGTTCATATATGTTTTTGTCTCTTTTAATTATTAATTTTTGCCTTATATTTTATGTTTTCAATTTTCATTTGTAAATCCTTCCTCGACGTCTTATTTAGAGCTATTATTAATGCTATTCCCTCCCTGGATGAGCAGTAATTTTAGGAACTTCAACACTGAAAAAAAAACAACAACAATTATCAATGTTAAAATGTCCAATATGGACAAAAGCGTGTACATTTAATTAATTAATTAGATCATTTATCAAGTTA